TATACGTTTTAAAGAAAAGTCGGGACCATCCCGTCCGACTGTCTCTCGGTGTCGAGCTGACTCTGAAGGATAAGGTATCGTTGAGTCATCATTACTAAAATACACCGAAAAAAATTGCTATTTTAACAATGAGAATCTTTGTTTTAGTTTACTGGAGACGGAAAAAAAAAAAAAAAACCCGATCTATTAATGAAGAGTAGTAGGCTGCTCTCGCTTTACGCAGTGCTTTCTTATATTCATTGAGAGTAATATGCCAAATTAAACGAGATTCTTCAAGTTTAGTGGAACGCCATATCCTTTCAAGTTGTCTCGACTTTTGCTTTATTTTGCGGGTTTCGGCATTATGCCATGGATTTAAACGTCTCACTGCTCATCCGTCCAGGTCTACAAGATGAACTTCGACAACGCAGCCTTCAAACACCGCACGCCGCAGCAGAAGACGGCGCCGGGCTACGAGAAGCTGCCGATGAAGCGAGGCCTCTTTTTCGACATGTTCCCCTTCAGCGTGATCTTCCGCCGCGACATGACCATGTACCGCATCGGAGACGGCCTCAAAGAGGTCTTCTCCGACCTGCAGGGCAAGAAGGTCAACGAGGAGTTCACTCTGATCAGACCCATGCTGGAGTTCACCTGGGATAACGTGAGTCCGGATTTGTTTGTCATAAATTGAAATTGGATTTCAATAGAGTGGTGCAAGGATGATGTATTTTTATAGGCCGACCCGGAAGTAAGCTGCGCATGGGGTTCCCTCGACAAAAAAACAATAGGATTTCTCCATAGGATTTTGGAATATTGTAAAAAATAAGATCTTTGGAACCTGTTTGATAAATGCACGTTTTGTTCAGCCGGATAATCTCCACATGTCTACTCTACTTTTATAATTTTCATATCATAAATCTAATCGCCAGAAGCAAAATGCTAACATTATGCTATCAAGGAACTACAGCCGAGTACAGCAGGGTCGCACGACTTCGACGTCAAGCCAACTTAAGATCCATTCAAACATACAGATTCTAAATGGTTCAAGTTGAAGCGTTTGTTTGAACAGTTTGCAGGAGAGGCACTTGCTTTCAAGCAGAACAGGGCAAACAAACTTAGAGGAGTGTTTACGTGTTCGGCGTAGTGACGTACAACGGCCTCCACAAATTCTGTAGTCCTATTCAGCCACTTATTTTATTTATTCATTTATTTAACAGGGACAGTGCACATTAATGAACATTTCTGTAAATGTGCCAGAGTTAGCCAAGAGGCTATTTTTCATCTGTAGTCCCTGGACAGATTTTAAAAGTCAACCTAAAATACATTTCATTTTAAACAAGTAAATACAATACATTTAAAACATGCAACAGACATTACTGGGATACTTAAATAAAACAATTTAAAATACAGAACATTAAAACAAAACAAATAAAACAAAACAAAAGAACATGTTAAAACATAGGCAGTGGGTTGTAACAGTGACAACACAGTTACACACAGTTACACAGTTACAACAGTGGGTTGTAACTTGTTAACAACCATTGTTTCTCAGACACGTCAACTCTTCAGAAATCACCAGTGGGGTCACTGCTGATGTATTTAATACCGTAGAACAAAACGTGATCCGTTTCTTAAATGTGTGTCAACCACAAACCTTATTTCCAGCTATTTTCCAAAATCCTATGGAGAGATCCCATTGGCTCTGAGACGAGGGAAAAGGAAGTGGTGTAATGCTAACTCACTTCTGGGTTTTAGGACTCGTTCCTGCACCACTCTATAGCTGACAAACTAAGAAACACAAATCCTTCCTCTCATTAGATCTACACCCATCTGAACAATGTGTTTGAGCTGCTGTCTGTAGCGGTGGTGGAGAGCAAGCAGAAGGTCAACATTCCCAAACTGAGCAAGGAGGATCCGGAGGAGAGTCGAGAGAAGGAGGAGAATGAGAAAGCAAAGAGAGAAGAAGAAAGAGGTAACGGGTCGCTCCATTTCAATCATTCCCCAATGCATTTTGTATATAAAAGGGTTCATTTCAAATGGATGGGATCACAAAATGTCCATAAAGTCACTCCATCATTTTAAAGGTCATCCGATCTGGCAGAGCTAAATGAAATATTTATTATATAGTCAAGAGGAAATGATTATCAAACTGATTCAAGAGACAAATATATTTTTTAACATAAAGTTACTCAACCTTCAAAGCACATATATTAATACGTATATATATTCTGTAAATGGAGCACATCAAATAAGTGCAGTCTGGTGAATGTCATTATAAATAGTCAATAAAATGGGAAAAAGGGGAATTTGATGCATAATAAAGTAAGAAAGATATCACCAAACATTGTTGGTGTAATTTAACTAAATATATTTACTCAAGTATTACACAAGAAAGTACACATTTGAGGTACATCTACTTAACCTCCGTATATCCATTTAATACAATGTTATACTTCCACTTCCAAGGTACAAATGATAAAATGTTGTACCTTTTACTACATGTATCTGACATTATTACATGGCTTAGTTGAATACTCGATTCTGATTGGTCAATTCAGAACACGTGACACGTTGTTAATCCACTAGTACAGACCGCTGTCAAGGATTTATTGACCGTTGTTAAGGACGCTCACATCTGCAGAAAGAAGTCCGGTCGATTTAACTGTATACAGTTTGCTTTTCAAACTGTTTGCTTGTCTTTAGTTTTCCGTTGTCTGAGGATTTGAATATTAATTTTTATACATTTGGAGAGCACAGTAATTTGGATGAATGGTTAGTGGCTGATGAGTCCCCAGCGAAGAAAAGAAAAAGACAACAGGGACAAGAAAACAGCGGAGAAGTAACCGGGCAGAAACCCTCAACACGGAGCTGCGGTCCTTTTTACGCAACGGTCCAGACATAGACATCAAACGGCAAAACATATTCAGTTGCCAGTTGCTTTGGCATTAGGGCAGGGATATCTAGATACTTTCCAAGGTTTGACATAATGAATTGTGCTACTTTTAAAGCAAGCAGCAATGTTTTCAAATCTGTAATCAAAAAGGTCCGCAAAAACGTTTGGCGTTGCTACGTAGTTCAAACGGTAACAACGGACTATTTTTCTTAGCGGATGCATGTCATTTTAAATCAATAACAATTTTTTTTAAATCAATAATACTATTTTTTAAATCAATAAAAACATTTTCTAATAATTTGTACTATACTGAAATGCACTATTAGCTTTTGTACTTTAAGATAATTTTAAAGAAAATATGTTTGTACTATTATTGCTATGCGTATTTCAACAGTAAAATATACCACTAATCATTATTTGTGCAATTTCAAGGTGGGGTAGGTAAGTTTGAGAAACCGGCTGGAGATACACTTGTTATTTTCCATGGAATTCTCTTAACATCCCGATAGCAATGAATATCTGAAGTGCTTTGACAAAAAATCCATAAAATAATTTCATCTGTGGAAGCCGTAGTACTATAAAAAGCACGACCAATCATCTGAGCCGGCCCGGCTAAAGTAACTGGATGGCATAC